AAACAATGCTAAAGGAACCAATCCCAATAGAAAAAGGTCGAATCTTTAATCAAAAGCCCAAAATCGGCTAAAAAGCCCAACTCGGAACCCGACAAAACTTACAAAAACCGATAACCCATTCAATTATGAGTCCAACCATACTAATTTCATCCAATTCCGACTCTAAATCGATGTTCAAAACATAAAAAATCACTTTATAAACTCAGGTAAAAACCTCCAAATTTCACTTGGAAATCATCAATCAAATGCCAAAAACGAAGATCGATTCATGAAATATAACCAACACTGAGTAGGGAACACTTACCCCAATCCATATGGTGAAAATCGCCTCCAAAATCGCCCAAATCCGAGCTCCCCAACTTAAAATATGACCAAATGAATAAACCCTTATTTTATATATTTTTTTGCCAGCTATTCTGCCTCGCTTCTCATGACAAACGATCCCGAAACTCACTTTTGATCCCTCCAATAGATTTCTTGTGAAATTTAAGTCAAGTTAGGCTCTTGAATCACTCCATTTGACCTTATATTTAAGGAGATATTTTGGTTTCAATATTTGGAAATAGTGTAGATTTTTAAATACGCACTCAGTGGAATTGTAATTAATCTAAAAAATCTAGCAACCCAATTCTTAGTAAAATGACATAAAATCCTCATACGATGTCCAAATTCGATAATTCTTTTTGCTATAGCTCCGTAATTACGATACTGATCTAATGCTTCAATAAAAACAGAAATCGAAGCTCATTTGCTTAATCTAGTACTATTTATGCTTGAAGAAACGACGTCGAAACATAAAAAACGAGCGCAACACAACCCAAATCTATCCGAAACTCACCCGAGCCCCTCGGGACCCTGTTCGAACATACCAACAAGTCCCATATCATAACACGGACCTACTCAAGGCCTAAAAACACACATAACAATATCGAAACGATGAATCACACCTCAATTCGAAATCAATGAACTTGAAACTTCAAACTTCCAAAACCGATGCCGAAACCTATCAAATCACGTCCGATTGACCTCAAATTTTGCAGACGAGTCACATTTGACATTACGGACATGCTCCAACTTTCAGAATTGGAATCTGACCCCGATATCAAAAAATCCACTCCCGGACAAACTTTCCAAAATTCCATCTTTCACCATTTCAAGCCAAATTCTACTACGAACCTACAAATCACAATCCGGACGCACTCCTAAGTCCAAAATCACCCAACGGATCTAACAGAACCATCAGAAATCCAATCCGAGGTCAAATTCTAAAAAGTAAAAACTTGTCAAACCTTTCAAATTTAAAGCTTCTAGTTGAGAATCATTTTTCCAAATCAATTCCGAATAACCCGAAAACCAAAACCGACGATTCACATAAGTCATAATACATCATACGGAGCTATTGATGCCCTCAACCAACCGAGCGAAGTATAAATTTTTAAAACGACCGGTCGGGTCGTTACGCATACCGTTTGTTAACATCTAAAACTTGAGATGTCATTGAAAATGTTGTGTGGAGCTTATTATCCTACTATTGCAAATGGTTTAGTTCATATTTCTTGGATTTATCTTTTACTCTATAATTTGAAGAAGAAAGAAGGATATACTTTAGTTGAATCTATGCTAGATAAATTTAAGAAATATTTCTACCCAATTCCCCATATTTACCTAATTGGTGCTATTTTAAACCCTTCTATCAACATGGTCTCTTGTCGCCAATTAATCATTGCTTTATATGTTTATTTGGATATTGGACCAACTGAAACCTCTGATATTGAAACTTGTATTTTTTATCTACACAAGCATTTACAAACTTTATATAATATTATGCTAACATTTTTTATGCTTCTACTATTGTAGATGCAAATATTCCTTCAAGTTCAATTTCAACATATGGGACCGGTGCTTTGGAGGATAATGATGGTGTTGAAGATTATTTGATTTGCTCTACAGTAGGAGAGCATCAACAAACAGTAGCAGGAATATTGATGAACTCCAATTCTACTTGCAAAAGTCACCGAGACCCGCACAAAGGAATTTATACCGCTGGGCTAGTGGAGGAGCAACTCAAATCAATTGCCTGTTCTTTCGTCCATGGCCCGAGATGCGCTGAATGTGCCGATTTCAACAGTCACATCAGAGAGCGCATTTAGCCAAGCAAGGCAGCAACTAGGAGATACCCATCATTCATTGGGCAGCAACACTTTGGAAATTCTAGTGTGCTTCAGAGATTGGATAAGATCATAACGGCGAAATCAATGGCGTGAAGAGGTAGATGAAACGGAGGACCAAGAAATTGAAGATATAATGGTTTATGGTTCCGATTCAAGCAATTCCGGAAATCAAAACCTCATGTTGACATGGATGAACTTACAAAAATGACGCAAAGCATGTGATGTACTCTTTCTTATTTTTTATAATAGTTGTAAACTTATAATTTGCAAGTTCAAAAATAAAAAAATCAAAATAAAACTTGCAAATTAATTTGAAGTATTATTTATTATTCAATGAATTAAAACGAAAGCCTTCGGAGTTTGATCCTTACATATTGGTTTTGTTAAATTACTTTCAATTTTATAAATTTTAAATTTCAAATTTCAAATTTAAAACTTTAAACTTTAAAGTTTAATTCTAAGCCTTAAACGTTTGCAAACACTTAAGTATCAATAACATTGAATAAGAAAAATATAATATACTAAAAAAAAAATAAGTAACCCGGTCTGGTCCGGACCCGTTAAGCCTGAACCCGGACGGGCCCTAAATAACCCAAAAATTTTCAGGGGGAAGTGCACAGTTAGCCACTAATAAGACATGTATTTACTTTTAAGCCACTGTTTAAAATGTCTTTAGTCTTTAGCCACTGCTATAATAAACTTTACCCGCCAGGACGAAAATACTCTTTTGCTCATAAAGTTCAGGACCAAGTGTCCTTAACTTATGAGCTTGTTACTGTATGTTCAGGACTAGCTGTCCTTAATTTATGAGCTTGTAAGTCTAAGTTTAGAACTACTTGTCCTTAACTTTTGAACTTGTAACTCTAAATTCAAGACTACATGTCCTTAACTTTTGAACTTGGAACTCGAAGTTCAGGACTACCTGTCCTTAATTTCTGTGCTTGTAACTCTAAGTTAAGGACTACCTGTCCTTAATTTCTGTGTTTGTAACTCTAAGTTAAGGACCAAGTGTCCTTAATTTTTGAACTTCCAACTCTATGTTCAGGACCAAGTGTCCTTAACTTATGAGCTTGTTATTGTAAGTTCAAGACTAGTTGTCCTTAATTTATGAGCTTGTAAGTCTAAGTTAAGGACTACTTGTCCTTAGTTTTTGAGCTTGTAACTGTAAGTTCAGGACTACATGTCCTTAACTTTTGAACTTGTAACTCTAAGTTCAGGACTACGTACCTGTCTTTAAATTCTGTGCTAGTAACTCTAAGTTAAGAACTACCTGTCCTTAATTTCTGTGCTTGTAACTATAAGTTAAGGACCAAATCCTTTCAACAACACATGCATCAACAAGAATAGAAACCCAATTCAGCATTGAATCCATACATAAAATTGAAGGCAAAAACCGAATAAAGGTGGCAATCACACGAAACAAGACAAAGCTAACCCTCGTTAGAAAAACAACAAGATATCATTTTTCATCTTCGTAACTGTTCAAAGCCATCAAATTCACAAGAATCAAAAAACCCAATTTAGCATTTTTATCACAAACACATATGCATCAAGTAAAACATGTCTCTGCATCGAACTTGAGAGAGAGCGAGGGTTCGGGAAGAAAAGCAATAGAAGAAAGGGTAAAAATGTCTTTTCTTATTAATTTTAATAGAGTAGTGGCTACTTTTACTCAATATTAGAATTGTTGGATAAAAAATAAAGACCACCTTAAATAGTGGCTACCCCACGCCATTTTTACAATTTCCCAACCAGTTACCAGCCCGATTATCCAGCCCACTAACCAGCCCGGAACACTAACTGGAAGGGCTGTTTTTTTCTGTGTCCAGCCCGGACCAGCCCGTCCGGTTAACACCTATAATATGAACTAGTCGTAACATTTTACTATATGATTAATTATCGAACAAATATCTTATTCTGTATTCCTCTACATCTCTTGTATCAGTAGTATTGACTTTATACATCTTTAAAGTTTTTTAAAATTTTATTTTTATAATGGTTTCTAGTCTCCAGAAGTAGTTGCCCACTAAACAAAAAGAAATTTCATGAAAAATCAAGGAATAATATCTTTGCCTTTCACCCCATTAATGTACGTATCAATTAACCATAAAAATAGTTGTACCGACACTGTTGAAGTCTGGTATTATGTTATAGTTGGTTCTTTCTGTCAACTTTTCATAGCATTAAGGGGTCAAAATTCGGACACTTATCAAAGAGATCAAGTTTTATGCACTAAAAATATGAAATTATTAACATAATAATCAGGTTACTTACAAGATAATCACAAATAAATATCTTTCATAGGCATAAAATCGTAACTTGATAAAATATGATAATTAACCTGCTATTCAAGGTTAAACAATAAATAATCTATATATCACTAGTATAGTGATATATAAATAATCTTTAGACTGCCACTATTTTTAACATAAATCATGGACGAAACTAGAGTATTAGATACAAATTTTGACGAACCAGTAGCTTCAGCTTAAATAATGTATTTGTATTAAAAAATTCATTAAATATGTATAGATATTTAGTTGCTAATCCAATGACTAAAATGAGCTATAGGTATCAGTTTGGCAATTTTAAAACCCATAAAGTTCAAATTCTGGCACTAACTTAAATCTATTATCAAGGGCATGGAATTATTTTCTACTTTTTCTTTCCTTTATCCAAAGAAATATCTTTAAGGAACATTGTCTTTTCATATATGTATCAGTATATTTCTTTTCCTTTTCTGGATAAACAATGTAATCCATATCTATCAAGTTCCCTATAAATAAGCAAGATATGAAACCTCAAATATCACCACTATCTACCAAATATTCTAGTACCTAAGTGAAAAATTCTTCCTTTCTCTAGCTCCTTATATATCTCCTCTAGTCTATATATCCATATAATTCTCGTCATCACATTGATTTTTATCTAAACATCAACTTGTTTGGGACTGAAGCGTAATTGTTGTGATTGTTATATCGGTTTGTATCGAGATGGATAGAATAGGGGACTTGGCATCAAAGAAGGCAGCAGTGATATTTACCAAGAGTTCATGTTTTATGTGTCATAGTATTAAAGCACTCTTTTATGATATAGGAGCAAGTCCAGCAATTCATGAACTTGATAAAGATCCAAGAGGGAAAGAAATGGAGTGGGCATTGAGAAGCTTAGGTTGTAATCCATGTGTTCCTGCAGTTTTTATTGGTGGAAAATTTGTTGGATCATCTAAGGATATTATATCCTTACAAATTGATGGATCACTCAAACAAATGCTCATTGATGCCAAAGCTATTTGGTTCTGATTACGGGCGTAAAAAAAGGCAGTCCAATGCACTAAGTTTTTAGTGTATGGGAATTTCGAAAAAGATTTTGGACCAATATTAGGTTTATTGTACAAAGTCTTGTATGAAACAAACATCTAGCTAGGTTCTTAGCTTGTACACAAACTTTTCTTGTGTCAACTTTAATCCACTAGGTTTTTTTCCTTTTTTTTTTTTTTTTGTTTCTAATCCCCTTTTCTTTAAAGGAGGTGGGGAAATGATAGCCATATGTTTTGTCAAAATGGCTGATAATGGAAACTTTTTCTTGAGTAATAAGATGTTTTTGTTTATGGTTCATGTTCTCAAGGTCGAGGGTATATCGGAAACAAGTTCTTTACCTCCAAAAAATAAGTCAGACCCTACTTGTGAAATACATTGAGTTTATTGTTATTGTTGCTCCATATTCTCAAGCTATTATTCTTCATCTTTTCTGTGACAATTGGATTCAAAATCACATATACTTAACCTTGACTAACAGTTAAGTCAATAATGTAAAATTATCTAATAATCTTCGTGCGTCACAATCAATAGCAATTTTGTTGTGCTAAAAACCAGGTGACATGTAATATATAGGAGAATGCAATTAAAGTTTACATATTAACTTATGTGATCCATGTATAAATTGAAGGTTTGACATAAGCAATACGAATATATGAGTAACAACGTAAGCTTTAACTCGTTCACGTATGATTTTTTTTAAGAGTTCTTCGGTGAAAGGATTGTCAGTTTTTTGTTCGAACTCTTCACGAATGTTGCCAGGTGCCGATTCTTCAAAAATAGTGCATTTTTAAAAAAACCTAACATGGCTGATAAACTTTTATTACATTTAGTCTCATTGTGAGGATACTAGAATCGTCCTATCCTATTTTGCTTTGATCAAATTCCCTCAGGATTTTTATACGTGCATAACTCCATAGCTTTCCTATTGAGTTCTAATATAAACTACGAGAAAGTTTTTTTTTCAAAGTCTTGCTGCTTATTGTATGCATAATTAATCAAGGAATCAATATCTTTCAACAAGTCTTTCTTATTTTTTTAAATTTTAATTTCATACAATCATGCACTATGTACAATAATCAATATCTTTCAACAAGTCTCTTTTAGTATTTAAATTTTACTTTCATATAATCATGTACTATGTACAATTCGGTATATAACTACTGGGATAAGCACTCCGCGCTAAAAAATACTCTTATATATAGCTCTAATCCGCACGCTTTTTTTTAAAGGTGCCACACCACTATAAATATTTTTACACCTTATATATAGCTCTCCAATCTTTTCAACTACCAATATGAAACTTTGTTCTCACGCTTAACAATCTCCACCTCGTATTCCACCAGGCCTACTATGCATGATCCACTTGCGAGATTCACTGTGTGCCACCCATGTGACTGAGCTAGTATTAATGGCCACTAAAGCCCTAGAGTTGGCTTCTTCTTATGTGTGTACATCTACTTCAAGCAACCTTTGGTGTGGTAAAGGTAGCCCTACGCCGTCATTATTCTATTATCTTTGTACTGTTAGATCTAATTTTAATGATGAAAATTATATATCTGCTCTTTGTATAGGAACTCTTGGATAGCATTCAACATTGGAGAAATCAATCAGCAATGATCAAGGAACGTATGGATTGATATACAAGATTGGTAGGAATCAATCAGAGGACATCAAGGAAAGGAGACGCGATTAAAGGAAGAAGAAATCAATCAGAGAATACTGACGGGATCAATCAAGGCTAAACTAAAGGAACCAAATAAATCAAGTATATTGAAGATCCTGTCGAATATTCAATCAAGCATCTAAATATGGGAGGAACAAGATTTCCGGGTTCACACACAAGGGAAAATCTTTACAGCCTCTCGTTCAAAGGAGTCATTGCAGAATAGCTTTATTCTTGGAAAGAATCAATCTCATTCCAAGGATCAAATCTCTTGGGTTGGCAAATCTTTCCAGAATTCACACATACAAACACCCTCTCTTTGTTCTACTACAGACAAACATTGTAACTCTATTAAGATCTGATGTGTAACAAGTTAGAGAAGAAAGAGAGAACAACACTGGTGAGGCATTGTATCAAAAGAGACGAGTGATATAGGAACTAAGCTATCGGTGTAGATCACACCATTCTCTGTGTACTCGAAGAAACTCATTCACTGAAAAGAACTCCTTTGCAACCCAAGGGGACTGGACTAGGATTCACATTGAATCCGAACCAATATAAAAATTTTGGTGTCTTTAATTCCTGCATTTAATTTCATCATCTTAAATTCTGTTGTTACTACATTCAACTTATTACATCTAGTCGACTAATTGAAAAACTAGTCAACTAATAGCAATTAAGTTTGAAAATAAATAATTCATCCCCCCCCCCCCCCCCCTTGTACTTTCACATACTCCTCTTGCCGAAACATTGTTTCTCGTACTAATTGTTAGGCTGAACTAATCCAAAATATTCTTAACCTTGTGTAATATCATCCACTTTAGGCCAAGTCTGACGCACACAATTTTTTCCAAAAGGCCTCAAACACCATTAGGACTTAGGAGTATCCCTACACCTTATATGTAACTTTTCAATCTTTTTATTTATCAATGTAAAACTTTATTTGCACTCCCAACAATAACGAATAATCTTACATGCATGATTAAGAGGAACCTCCACCCGATACGAATCTGAATTAATCAGAAGAATGAATACTGAACAGTTAATTAAAAAAAAGGATCGGACAGTTCTTTTCTTCTTTGTCATTTATTTTCCCCCTATTCTACTTTGCTACAGTTGCTCAAAAGAAATCAGTGACGGATCTAGAGTAAACACAATGAGCTCGAGAGAAACCACTACATCTAACTCGGACTAAGATATAAGATCAGAATGCATTAACTCTAAATTCTGAATTCGCGGCGGAAAAGAATCTTATCTTTTGCCTCCGCGTAGTGAGGAAAGCATATCAAGAAATAGCTATGAAAAGCTAAGAACTTTTCATCTTCTTAGAATCAAAGCTAAAGCTAAAGATGGACCGATTTAACTTGGACAAGAACTTATCCCCTGAGTAAACAGATGTCATTTCGTGCGCTGTGAATCTCACAAAATAATCTTTTTTTCAGTGATACCACCATACAATAGTGATAAATATTCGATTGGTCTATTCACTTTACAAAAGTGGCCAAAAAAATATATGTATTATACTCTAATTAATTTAACTGAAAATTTTGTTTCTTTTTTTGATTTTTCATTTGATGTATTATTCACTTTGAGTATCGATTTATTTATTGTTCACTTTGTGTATCCATTTATCTGGATATTCACACCGTAAGGTCTATTAAAGCGAAAAGCATTCCCTATTAAGATTTTTTCATTTTTAAGGGTGGAACTCGAGATCTTTGATTAACGATATTCCACCGCAACTCTAGTGGTGAAAATTTGCTTTTAATTGCTCATCTTTGACCTAAGAGAGAATCAGAGAATTCATTTTTGATTCGTCCAATAGATTTTATTGTTTTTTTGCAATTAATTCAATTTGGAGGGGGGGACTTCTTCGTTTTTTTTTTTCTAAAAAAAAAACTTCTTTGGTTCATTGGTAATTGTTATGTTATGAGCACTTATATTAATGAAAGTCGTTACAAACATGTATATGTTACATGCAAATAAATAAACGTTATTCCAGACGTAGTACTATTTAGAGCACTTAAATTTCCAAATAGTTTTTTTTTTTTGAGCAAACAGGAAATAATATATTAATAACTACGTAATGCTTCGTACATAATCGTCATAGTTTGTGTCTCTGTGGACACATCGATTACCTAAGCTTGCTAGTGTATTGCAAGAATCAACTGATAAAGACTTAACAAAAACATGGAGTTCTGATTGTTCACTTTTGTCACGACCCAAAATCCCTCCAAAGGAGTCGTGATGGCACCTAGTCTCTAAACTAGGTAAGCCTAACATTTACTGAAATAACATTAACATTTACTGACTTCAAATTAAATAACTATCAATAAATCACAATTCCCAAAACCAGTGGTACAAGTCATAAGCCTTTCTAAGAGTAGTTATACAAAATAAATACAACACTGTTTCAGAACGAGAAGGAATCAATGGAACTAAGTACAAATGAAGGTGACTCCGAGGCCTGCGAAACCTGTAGCAGGTTTACCTTGAGTCTCCACCGCAACGACCCGCACAGCTACTACCAATCAAATACCTGGATCTGTACACAAAAATGTACAGAAGTGTAGTATGAGCACACCACGGCGGTGCCCAGTAAGTATCAAGACTAACCTCGGTGGGGTAGTGATGAGGAACAGTCCAGACACCTACTGGTCAAACAAATTGAACAGGATTTGATAATTAACTATCAACCTAGAAATGATATAGTAATATCAATAGCGGGGAAAGAACAAACTACAATGAGTAGAAACAATAAAGAGAAACACGGATGGAAACGAAAGATAACCAAATAAATTAACACCAGCATAGCCGGAACACAGACAAGTAAGAATGTACTCAAACAAGGAAGGCGATGTCAGCTCAATAAATCATATCATTTCTGGTGCACAATTCCAGCCACTTCAAACTCGATGTCTCATATCATACCTCAATTACCAAACATTTAGCACACCCGGCACCTTGCGCCCACATATTTCTATCTCCCTTTGCACAACAACGTTCTTATGTTACTCAGTACATAGGGTCCATAACCAATGCAATTGAGATATTCACGGAGTCTCACTCACATGACATAAAGTAGAGTACAATTTCTAAACCAATTAGGAACTCAGCAAGAAAAGATGAAGTTATTTTTAGAAATCATTCGAATAAAGAAAATACCATTTTTAATTAAAATACAATAACGAATGAATTATTACCTTTAACAAGGGATTTAATAAATTAACTTAGTAGAAATTCTTTTTTTTTTATAATACATCCTCATACGGTTTAAGGGAATTTAATTAAGTAACTAATTGAATTAAAAATGAAACAATTATTGAAATTTGAAGTATTGAAATATACATATAAATATGGTGAAGTATTGAAAACACTATGGGGTTCCATCACAAAGGATCGCAGCAGTAAAGGAATCTGAACAGTTACAACACTTGAATTAGTAACAACAAATAAGCATAGCAAACAGAAAGTGCACGGCATCACCCTTCGTGCTTTAACACTCTCTCACAAAAATCGTGCACGGCATCACCCTTCGTGCTTTACACTCTTCCTCACCCAAGCAACAATCACAAGCAATTTGGGCAAGGGAATCAATAACATCACAATAGAATCAAGTAACAACAGAAAATCAGGAAATAAACGTAAAGAGCACC